ATTATGGAATTTTGTAAGGCATTTAATGCGGCAACTCAGGATATGGAATCTGGGATGCCTGTACCTGTTGTGATTACAGCGTATGCCGACCGTTCTTTTTCCTTTGAAACAAAGACACCTCCTGCGAGTTATTTTCTGCGCAAGGCTGCTAAATTGAAAAAAGGCGCCTCCAATAAAGGACACGAAGTTGTTGGGGAAGTTACAATGGATCAATTGCGTGAGATTGCTCAGCAAAAAATGGCGGATTTGAATGCACATGACTTGGAAGCTGGAGCACGTATGATTGCAGGTTCTGCTAGAGCTATGGGCTTGAAAGTAGTGGAGTCTTAAGATGTCAGGAAAAAGAATTCGTAAAGCACGCGAAACGGTGGATCGGGAAAAAATTTATTCCTTGGAAGAAGCTGTAAAACTTTTGAAACAAAATGCAACAGCTAAGTTTGACGAAGGCGTTGATATTGCGATGAACCTCAACTTGGATGTGCGCAAGGCAGATCAGCAGGTTCGTGGTATGGTCAGCCTTCCTAATGGAACTGGTAAGAAAGTATGTGTAGCGGTGTTTGCAAAAGATGATAAAGCAGAGGCCGCAAAAAAAGCGGGTGCGGATATTGTGGGTGCAGAAGACTTAGGCGATAAAGTTCAAGCCGGTCATATTGACTTCGATCGCTGTATTGCAACGCCTGATATGATGCCTCTGGTGGGTCGACTTGGAAAAGTCCTAGGACCTAAGGGGCTTATGCCAAATCCAAAGCTTGGCACTGTGACAGCAAATGTTGAGACTGCTGTTAAAGCTGCGAAAGGTGGGCAGGTTGAATACCGAACAGAAAAAACAGGTATTGTTCATGCGGGCCTTGGAAAGGCAAGCTTTACAGAGAAGGCTTTAGTGGAAAATATTAAGGCTTTTGCAAGCACTGTGATTATAGCAAAGCCTTCAGGAGCAAAGGGAACATACGTTAAAGGCGTTTCTATTTCGTCCAGTATGGGGCCCGCAATGAAAGTTGCGCTTGCAGATTTGTCTTAAATCGTTTAAAAGCGCTACGAGTGCACTTTTTTCTTTTAGGAATTGTGCGCTCGTGTCTCTGTCAGAGACTGTAGGTTCTAGCTTTGTAATATAGGCTGGTTTAATGGTTTTCTGCCTGCAGGAGATAGGGGATGGTTGTTCATTTTGACGCTATCTTCTCTTGATTGACGAGCTATAGGTTTTAGACTGTGATGGTCTGGAATTTGTAAGGTGTGGTTGGGGTTCCCAGCTATATGTAGACTTAGAGAAGGAGTTGGTTTGTGGACCGACAAAACAAAGAACAACTCGTTGACTCTATGCGCCAGGTATTGGCATCTTCTTCGCTTGTTGTTGTGAC